AGATTTGTTTTACTTTGTATACTTCAATGTTTGAATTGAATTCTGGGTGGTATTTCTGTGTACGTCAGTCTCTGGTTGTTGCTTGTTGTTTGTGGTTATCAGTCCAGAGAACTCCCTTTTATGGTTTTTGTAAATTTGGCCTGGTTATTACAAATTTCATGTATTTCTGTTTGTCTGGAAATGTAATTTTACTGTAGTATTTGAGAGACAGTTTCGCTGGGTATATGATTCTTGATTGGCAATTTGTTTCTTTCAGAGTTTTGTATATGTTATTCCATTGCCTTCTTGATTCTTGACTGCATGGTTTCTGCTGAGAAATCAGAAATTAATCTTTTTGGTTGTCCTTGGTGGATAACATCATTTTTCCAGAGCTGTTCTCAGAATTCTTTCCTTGTCATTGATTTTGGAGAGTTTGGTTATGGTATGTTTTGGTGATTTTTTTTTTTTGTGTGTTATTCTGTTTGGGATTCATTCAGCTTCTGGAATGCATATCTTCTCATCTCTCATGATTTTGGGGAAATTTTCTTCCAATAGCTCTTTGACTATCTTTGCTTTGCGTTGTCTTCCTGCGCTGGAATTCTGATTACTCATAAGTTATTCCTCTTCATTTTGTCCAACATGAATCTTAGGCTTTCTTCAGATTTTTTCATTCTTTTTTCTGATTCTTCTAGCTTACTAGTATTAAGCAATTAAACTCACTAATTCAGGCTTCTGTTGATTCAAATCAATTCCTTTGCCCTTTCAATGGTTTGCCCATTTCTGAAATGTTAGTATCAATCATCTGGATTTCTGTTTTTAGGTTTTCTAATGTCTCCAATCGTTTATCTATTTTGTTTGATTGTTCAAATAGTGATTTCCAGAATTCTTCCTTGTGTTCCTCAACTTTATTGTCAGTCATTGGTATCTAAATATAATTCTCTTGAATTCTTTTTCAGATAGTTCCAATGCCTTTGTTTTCCTTTAATCCATTTTCTAGCTCTGCCTCTTGGTCACTTGTTTGAGCCACTCTCTCTTATTCCTTGGTGTGAACAAAAATTGTCTGATACTTTTCAGATGTTGTATGGTTGTTGTATTTGCATTAAGTTGATGATTGTATGTTGGTGTATCTTAGACACTCACCAACTGCCTCCTGGTGAGTATGATTAGGGGACAAGCTTATGCAGTGTTTGCTGCTTGTGTAGTTCAATTTAGGATGGATTTGGCCGATATTGGTTGTTTTTGTTGCTCCAGTGTAGAGCATCTGTTATTGCCTCTTGCCTGCTGTATGACTGTAGAGGATAGAGTTGAGGCTGGGCTGTATGGACAGGTTATTGTGTCCTGTTCAGTGAGGCAAGAAGAGAAAACAAACACAGTAAGAGAGAAGGAAAACATAAACAAGCAAACAATAGGGGAAAAAGAAAATAGTAAAGAGGAAAAAGGACAATAATTAGGGGGAAAAAAAACACCACCAAAGAGAGAAAAGGAGTGGTTAATGTGCTGGACTGCAAAGTCTGTTTGACTACAAGGTTGGTGGTTCAGGCTCACTAAGTTCTCCTTGGAAACCTTATATACAGGGTCACTATGAGTCAAACTTACTCGACGGCACCTAACAACAATAACAACAAACCCAATTAGAGGAATGAGTAAAGGGAGAAAACCAAAAGAGAGTGGTAAAGAAAACAAACAAAAAAGAAGCTGCAGCAGGTGGAGAAGAGAATCACAAAAATAGAAGAAATGAAAGCTGAGTGAGAAAAGATAGAAAGCAAGAGAGAGAGAAAAGAGGAAGAAAGAATAAACAAGAAAGGAAAAAAGCAGGGCAGTTGCCAGATCCAGAGAGGAGAAAATTCTGGGGTCTCCTACCAGCCAAGGACCTCATATCTTGGGTAGACAAGTGATGAGAAGGTAACACTCTCAACTCTAAATGAAGTTCCTGGAGGGTTAGGTGCTGTCTGTTCTGAGCACCCAATCTGGAAGCAGTTTGTGCAGACCCCAAAGCAACTGGGAGATGAGGTTATTTCCGTCCCTGAGGTCAGCTGAGGATGAGAGGCCCTGCTACTCCTGGGCTCCTAGGCCACACTGGGTTCCAGGTCTCGGGGTTGGTGCTGTGAATGCCCTACTCCTTTAGGTGCAGATCTGACCACCCAGAGAGCAGGAGCTGCCCTGGGAGTGTAGGTAGGTGGGAGTTGCCCATACCTCTGCTTACTAGGGTAATGGTATGTATGTATGTATGTATAAATATATATAAAACCTTTCTCTGTACAAATAAGCAGTATGCCTTTGTGCCACCTAGTGTCCTCTTGCCTTCAAAGTTGCCTTCAGAAGTTGAAGATGGCTTTGCTGCACCTGGCTGGTTGGCACAGATAAACAACCTCCATTTTTTTTAACCCCATGAGTCTGTTCTGGTGTGGCACTGCGTCATAATGCACTGGACTGCAAAGTCGGTTTGAACAGTAAGATTGGCAGTTCAAGGTCACCAACCACTCCTTGGGAACCCTATGTAGGGTCACTATGAGTCAGAACTGACTGAACAGCACTTAGCAACAGCAACAACATGCATCTATTCAGCTACTTCTAGTGAGGGCTAGTCCGGGGTTAGCCAGGACCATATTTGCAGATTTGGAGCAGGATCTACTCAAATGGGTTACAGCGAATAGCTCCCTGCTCTGTTAATGGGGCTCACAACTGTGACTTTCATCACCCTGTAGGAGCTTCCCCGGGGGTGGGGTGTATGTGGGTGAAGGCCGATCTAACTTCTGGTCACCAGTGGATTGTGGGAAACAAGGGAAAAAATCATACTTTTTTCTCCTTGAGCCACCGATAGGTTTCTGCAATGCCAATCAATATGTGTTTTTTGACTCTGAATGTTAAAATGACCGTGCTGC